CTACACGCTAGGCTTGCACCGTGGGTCATGCCGATCACTTGACGCAGAAGTAAAACCAGGTTTTACAGTATTATGGAGTCTCTCTCACCATCTTGTGGCGGAACGTCAACCGTTACTTTCTTAAGTCTGCTCAGGCTGATGGCGGCCGATGCACTGAATCCCATGCTCCAAATGTATAAATATTTTAAAATAGTCACTATCCTTATAAATAAACTGCATAGTCGCAATCTAAACAACTACATTCTTGAATAAATAAGCATCAAAAGTGCATTGTTGTCCAACAGCAGCGAGATTTGTCAAACTGTAGAGTGTCCTCTGCTTGTTGCTGTATGTGGGCAGAGTAATACACAAGGGTGAAGGGTTAGGAGGCTGGACGATTGCTGTTATTTGCAGAATATAATTATGGGGGAAGTAAGATAGACCAAAGCAAGATTATACAATATTATAGGCATTGGTTTTTTGTATAAAAATATTCCTATTTAAAACTTTAGAAGAGTATCACTGGCTTCCAGCAACTTCCATACAATTCATAGTTTATATATTATGCAACTCAATTTTGTTGGCTAGGATGGCTTTGAGGGTGAGTAAATTATAGGATCATTTTTATTTCTGTGTGAACCATTCCCTACCTGAAAAAAAAAAAAAATCTTAATGCAACCCAGATTAGCAATAAAAACACAATAAAAGCGTGTGACTGAAATTAATTAATATCTAATAATTACTTCTGACTGTGTGCTTGTTCCTTTTAGTTAAGGCTGTTGAGCAAGAAATATGAATGTAAACACAGTGTAAATGCCTCCATTTCACAGCAGAGCAGCTCCGCAACCTTTTTGTGTTTCATTGAACGCTCTTTAAATATTTGTTAACAAGGTGTGTGTTGCTTTTTAATTCCCTGTTGGTTGCGTGCTCCCTTGCTATCTATTGATGCAGTTGGCTTTTTCGCTGTACTCCATTACGTTCCAGTTTGTAGGTAATTTCATCTTCATTTTTCAAATTTGAGAAGTCACTGTGGCATAAACTGTTATGCGAAACAGATGCGACAGCTGAGATGTGACTAGTGACGGATGGAATCATGGGAGAGGCACTTTTATTGGCTTTTGTGTCTGAAATTAGAACAAATGAGGCAAAAGAGCACCAATTCAGGTGGTGGAAAGAAAGAAAAAGCTGCTAAAACACATGCAGAAAAAATGCATATCTGGATATGGGGTCATTTATAAATAAAAGAAGTTCTCTTTATGTGTCTAAAAGTGTGAGGGGCGCATAAATGATGTATCATGTTCAAATGCGGTGCCTCTTAGTATACAGTATGTGCACAAGGTGTCACCTCCCCAAACCAGATAACTACTAGTACTTTTTCAAAGATGAATAGTGGAATTGATTGAGAAGATACTGTATATGGTACAGTATACACTGATATTAGCTTGGTTTGCTTCGTTGATGTTCATGTTTTGAAGTTATTGAATGTTAAAACCTTTAACTAATGTGTTGAATTAATGTTACTGTTTTGAAAAAGCTTGCATTAAATAGGATTGCATTGTGTTGATTTAATGGATATCTGAAGTACGTTCCTCTTAAGCAGCCCATTAATTATGTACTTCTGTTTAGAAGGTGCAAGTTCAATAACTTTTTTATAAAAAAAAAATAAACTGAATTTCTAGTTAAAATGTTTTGTTATTCTTTAAAGGAGCATGCATTTTACTTCAGGTTCAGGTGCATCTTTATTTCAGGTTCTCAGGTTTTTCAGCATTCTTTTTTTAATCCATTTGCCTTCATTGGCATTTGAAAAATGCATCTCTTTAAAATGTCTCTGCGGTGTGACAGATGATTTTTAACCGTACTAATTGTCCATGTACTCTCTCAATTAATATTAGCTCAGAAAAAGCAGCATGAATTACAATTCTAATTATAAAAGAATTAGCTAAATACTGTTTAAAATGGTTTTAGATGGAGTACCGCACATCACACTGCAGGATATGCCAGCAAAATAAAAGTATTTCGTGCCAGTTACCCATTTTCTGAAATTCTTCTTAAAATGGAAAATATTCCATGGCAAAACTTATTTTGTGATATAATATAATATAATATAATATAATATAATATAATATAATATAATATAATATAATATAATATAACATAGCATAACATAACATAACATAACATAACATAACATAACATAACATAACATAATATAATATAATATGATATGATATGATATGATATGATATGATATGATATAATATAATATGATATAATATAATATCATATAATATAATATAATATAATATAATATAATACTTATATTTCATCTCACATTCCCTTTAAGAGTCATATATATATATTTTTTATTTTATTTAATTGAACCATGTTTTAATTAAATGACAAATAGAGGACTATGCAGAAGACATCGGCTAGGAAATCAAGGCAAAAACTAGTGTAACTATTTTGTTATAAATGAAATGTTTTTGTTTTTACCGTACAAAGGTTATTCTAAAAATTAAACAAAGAAAATACTGTATTAATTAATACAAAGCAATGTTTGTTTTTTTAGTTATTTTAATATTATTAAAAATTTTTTGAAACTACTTATGACAGCTATAATTATCTTTGGCCCAGAAGACTTTTTGGCCCTTCATTAGAAAAAGTTTGGGCACCCCTTTTGTTATTAATGTTAATAATATTTGGTAGGTACAGATATGACGTTTTTTCATCACCAGTGCTGCAATTTGTCACACACAGTGCTGCAGCAGCAAAAGCCACCTTTTCAAATAGACATTTTTGTGCTTTAAGCAGGCGAGGTTTTTTATTTTATTTTTTATTCTTTTTTTTTTGTTTTTTTTGCTTAAGATCACCCTTATATTTCTCTTTTAAATGTAAGTTTGTTGCATAAAATAATAAAGTAGTTTTAATTTATTAAGTGACTTTTCTTTGTTGCGTCCTCCTTGATGTTTAAAAAATGCACAATAATCTTTATTAAAGATATTAAAGACACAGCAGTCAGTAACATTCAGTTGTCAAAAAAGTTCTTGTCATCATTATATGCCCTATTATATGATGTACTATGACTAATATAATATAATATAATATAATATAATATAATATAATATAATATAATATAATATAATATAATATAATATAATATAATATAATATAATATTTGACTTTAAACTGTCACAAAAAAAACTGCAATGAATTGATATTATAATTTGCTATAACATTCTACAAACTAATATGCTGTAATATCCAATGTAATATAATATTATGTAGCATGTTATGCCATAATATATGAGGTTGTGTGACAGATGACTTTGAATTAATATTAGTCATTGAAGTATGTGATTAAATGTTGAATGATTTTGTAAATGTAATCATATAATATAATGTCTTAACCACACATTCAATACTGTATTTAATAGATCAAAGGCTACATTAAAATATGCATATTATATGAATATTAAAATAAGCAAAGACAATAACCCAAGGCTCTTATTTTAAAGCACATGCACAAGTCTCGGATACTTCCATTGTGCCGTTCAGTAGACATTGTCTCTGTATCATTGTTTACTGTATCCCTTGCGGTTTCACATATTGTAATTCTCCACGAGTTGCAGCTCGCGCTCCGTTCTCAAAAACCCAACCATCTTTTATCGTCTCACTCCCTTCATTTGTGATATTTTCTCTCTTTTTTTTAATGGAATTGGCTGCACAATGACTAGTAACTCCCAGTTACAATGATCCATTCTCCAGCAGCGTTATCTCCCTAATAGAGTGCAGCATAGAAGTAGCAGGGCAAGCGACGGCACCACAGTAATTGTCAAGGAATCACACAGGAACATCAGCAAGAACAATGACGCTATAACTCTGCTCTCTATAATCATAATATGCCTTTGTTTCAGCGAAATGAAACACGTAGGCAATGAGAGAAGCATGCAGGAATGGAATGGTGTGATTCCTCGGAGGTGCATTTGGAATTCGAAGGAAACATTTTCCCTTTTCAATTAAATATCGGCTCAGTTCACCAGAGAGCGTTCACGGCTAATGTGCGCCAATCCTAAAGGTAATCGTATTCCTCACAACATGCAGTAATGTGGGTTTTCACCGAGCTCCCAGCTGATGCACTCTTTCTGATCTCATTGGCGTGTTTTTGCTTTTCCAGTTTTGTTGACACCAAACACAAGCGCCTGACCCCACCATTTTGCTCTCTGCTCTCATCTAGATTTGCATAGCAATTCCTTCTGATTGTCTTGTGCGTTTCTGGGTCGCATTAGTCGGAGTAAACAGCAACTACTGCAACCGTGATTACAGAAGGCAAACTGCCGGATAATGGCTCCCGCATCGGTGTGTGTAATTGATTGGTATTGAGCTGTCAAGCTGCATACATTATTACAGTGCCGAAATCAACTCGCAGGCTTTTGTCTGTTAGTAAGACGATAGACCGTCTGGGACCGGTTGCTTCTGTGCGCTTGGGAGAATTTATCTGCTTTTTATGAGACATTTCCCCCCACTGCTTTGTGATCTCTCTCTCTTTGCTATTTTATGAGCCTGTGGCTTTGGGATGCAACATTTATTGGTGTAGCTGCTATAGAATAGAAGCGTATGATCTAAAGAAATGCTATCTGCCAAACACTAAATATGTGCTCCATTTGGAGAAAAAGCATTTTTTTTGAGACCAAGTGCCTTTTTTGGGGTGCTTGTGCCAATTGAAATGCTTTTTTCCTCACCCTTTCCCTCTTTATTTTCCCTCTCCCTTAAAAAAAAAAAAAAAAAAAAAAAAAAAAAAAACTTGTGTGTTTATTTACCTTCCTCCTCCTCCTCCTCCTTCTCCTTCTTCTTTTTTATGTTTCCTCCCCTTTGGTTTCCTTTAAATTTGGCATCCATGTTTGCCTCGGGATGTCTGTCACAAACTGCAGTCAAACGTTGTGACAATGCTTTTCTTTTCCGCCCGTGCCTTTTTTTATGACCCTCTTATTTCTTTTTTCCTTTTTCCTGTTTTTTCCTTCAAGGTCTGGCGCACCTGACGTTAAAGAGCCAAGGTATGGGGCCTCCCCCTTTCCCCACCTTTCCTCGTTTTATTTCCTCCCCCCCCCTCCCCTCCTTGCTTCCACAACTCATTTGATCTCCCTTTTTTTTCATTGTCCCGTTGGTTTCTGTGCCCTTTCATTCTCTGCTATCTGTGTGTTCTCCATGTGCGTCTCTTCACCCCTGTCCTGTCCACTGGCCCAGCCCCAGGAGCAGCTCCTCTGATGGCCACTCCTGCAGCAGGTAATGCTCTCTTTCGCTCTCTCCCTCACATGTTTGTTTTGGTCCTGGTGTTGTGCGGTCACAAACCGTACCCAGAATGCACCGAGCCAGAGCTCTGGTGTCATTCTAGCTGTTTGGCTTTATTAATACAAAAAGAAAGAAATAAAGATGAGTCTCTTTGTTGTTTTTTTTTGTTTTTTTCAAAGTGATTGATTGAAAGCTGCCGATTGAATGTCCTAATTGTTTCCTGTCTGTATTATGGCTGTGCACTTGAAATGCAAATAATGTACCGTTTGAAATGTTTCTTGCCTCTTCTTTCAGCTCAAGCGACTCATTGTGGCGGCTGATAACTGTCATTACACTATCTATTATACACTTCACGTTCTTTTATCTGCATGTTCGCTGAATTGCTGTGTAGTCAGGCTAAGCTTTAAAACTGCAATTATTTTTTTTAGAAGAGTAGTCTAGCGCGCCGCCGCTTGAAATGCAAAAACACTTCAGTCAGACGTATTTATCTAACAAATTTAGACAGAGCACACTCCCTGTCTGCGGCAATAACAGAAGGCAGCTTGATTCCTTGATTCCCGAACCGACCTGTCAATCTTAATTACTTCAAGTGATTACAGGCCTCTGTGAGATAAGCAGGGTTCGCTAATTGCAGGATTTGCTAATGATTGGTTCACCAAGCTCATATGAGGATGTACGTCTTCATTAAAATATCAAAGTGCCCCATGTGATGATGATCAAACACGCACGCATGCATTTTTCATTTCATATAAATGATGCTCTTATTGACTTACTGGTAAGCTTCTTGAGAACTTATGCGAGTGATGTAAACAATCTGGAAAACTTCAGGTGAAATCTTTCGTGTTGGTCTGGTGATGTTTTTAATTTTCAAAAGACGTAACAGTATCAGCAGTGAAATATTTTTTTACAATCAGAATATACGGTAGCTAATTAAATAGATTAATTTAGTTGTTTAAATGTTAAAAATTGTGCTTATTCTTTTAATGAGTTATAGGCATAACGTGCATTAGGTTTCATCTCACATTCCCTTTAAGAGTCAGTTGCGTTGCATTTGCTATTTACATGACGGACTTTGCTAGGGGAAAAACTGAATGGAAAAACTGAACGCTTTACTATAGCGAGAAAACAGTTTAACAGACCATCTGCACAAGAATAAGAGCCTTCTCCATTCGGCTTCTTTAATTTCTTTTTACTTTTGTAGCGTTTGTTAAGCGCAACGATTTGTTTTAAAATGATTTCTAAATTCATTTTTTTATTTCCAGCAAATGAATAAATAAACAATTATAACGAAGTGTGGTCAAAAAACACATTTAATATCCAAACACTTGTCCTTATGCCCATATAGTGACATACATCTCCAAAACCCGACTGGTGGACAAATCTAAACTTGTTTTAAATAAATAAATAGTACCGCTAATAATAATAATAACATTATACAAAAGCAAATTGTGAATAAACTAAAAAAAACTAAAAAACTAAAAAGAAGGCATTAAGGCAGTGTTTTTTATATTTATGTCGAAAATAATAATATTTGTATAACATTTTAATCATTTTATTATTTTTCGTTTGTAAAGACATTTGCATATTGCTGTTCATCCTGTGTGTATTAAAAAATGTATAAGCGTTTAAGGCACACAACTAACTAACTCTGCACTGGACTTTAGACCTGCTTGGTCAATTGCACAGTCTATTTTAGTAGTTTAGTTTAGTTTCTTAACGCACCTTCTTTTAAGACTGGAACACCTATGAGTCCACAAAGCAGTGCAAATGGATTTAATATTTAAACAACGTGGCACAAAACTGGAAAATTAGGGTTGCACTTGACTGAAATCATCAACAAATCGCTCTACACACTTCTTGTGCCTTATTGCGCCGGGTGTATGATAGGGCCCTATTTATATTTAAGTAAGAAATGAGTTCAATATGAATGCTGAGTGCTTTTTTTAATAGCATGAGTGCAAATTAATTCTATACAATTCTTAAGTAAATAATGAGTTAATATTATAATATTTGTGCCACAGCAGAACAATTGTGCATCATTGCTCAACACACAGTGGTCTTCGGTTTCTTGATGTATTCACATTTTCATTAAATATTATTATTAAAATTATTATCATTTATTCATCATTAATTTTCTTTTCGGCCTAGTCCCTTTACTAATCTGTGGTCGCCGCAGTGTAATGAATTGCCAACTTATCCACCATATGTTTTTGCAGCAAATACTCTTTCAACCCATCACTTGGAAACCCATATTCCAATTCACACACATACATACACTACGGCCAATTTAGCTTACCCAATTCACCTGTACCGCATGTCTTTGGACTGTGGGGGAAACTGGAGCACTCGGAGAAAAACCCTCGCAAACACGGGGAGAACATGCAAACTCCACGCACAAATGACAACTGACCTAGCCAGGGCTCGAACCAGCGACCTTCTTGCTGTGAGGCGACAGCGCTACCCACTGCGCCACTAAGCTGCATTATTATGATTATTATTATTATTTTTATTACTATTATTATTATTATTATTATTATAATTAATTAAACTTTTAATATGTTGTAAAATTATTTCATGGGACAGTTTTTAATGTATTTCTGGTCAGATAAGTGAAGCCTTTGTGATTTTAATATTTCTAAACAAACAAAGAATCAATCAAACAAACAATCAAAAAACAAATAAAACAAACAAACATATAAACAAAAACACCCACACCTTTTTACAAAATATACATTTTAAAAATATATTTTTTAATAGTTTTTGATACCACAAAACTTTGTGGTATCAATTTTAAGGTTGGTTTAACAGCTTAAAGGTCCTGTGAAATGCTTTAAACTGTGCATTTTCTATTCAATGTTTGACTTTATCTCAACTTAAAATTGAACTGAGGGTGGGATATTATAGCTCCTCCCCTTTAAAAAACAGCCAACAGCATTTTGTTTTCATCACAGCTCTGCCAGTGAGAGTAGTTGAGCTTAAGCGCATCAAATAAAAAGCAAATCAGAAGCATCTTGAAAGGGCAGGGGCATGTCGGAAACTACAGAGCATTTGATTGGTCAAGATTTAAAGAAAAACGTCTGACGTAAAAAAAATTGTAGACACATTTAGACAGAGGGGTCAAACTGCAAGCTTTAGATGTTTATATCAGCTTTATATTTTCTTAAGCAAAATTTGTCATTGTTTTGGAGCACGCTAGCTAACAGATACACTAAAAACTAACAGACTTAAAATAACTAACATCTAAAAATGTTTTATTTTAATTTTATTGGACCTTTAAAATTAATGGACATTTAATATGAAGAAATCCATAGGTTTTCTCTCGAATGAGTTAGGATTATTTCCTATATTTTATTTCATGATCTGCAGACAGCAAACAGACACTAGAAAGCTGTAATGCATTGCGTTTGTTTAGTTTCATGATTTTTATAGATCAAATTGGCTCTGTTCCAAAACCTAGTGAGCTGCCTCGCTGCCTAATGCCTACATAAACAGCTGCCTTCCAAGAAGGCGTCCTAACCATAATGGATCCTCATAAGAGACTGACTTGGAACTCAGCACGTCACACAAACAACACTCTGGAGAAAAGACTCATTCCAGTATAGTTTGGTGTTGGCATGTTGCTGAGCTGCCAACAAGCTACTGTAAGAACAGATATATCTAATTTAAAATGGCCATATGACACCATTTTAAATTCAACTTTCTCTTTGAACTGTTACAAGCTGTTCATGCATATATATCTTAATATGTAAAATCTCAAATAGGTATTCCATCAAATATAAGACTCATCATCCAAGCCTACCTAAAACACCTCATTCATGATCAACCCTGCAACTGCCACTGTGTGGGAAGATTGTCATAAAAACACCTAAATGTATACACAAAGACAGAATGTGTTTTATTATTTACACAATAAAACAATTTATAATATAAACCACAAGACACAACACTTTAGGATCAAGTATATTGATCAGATTGGTAATTTCTGGATCAGATTTACCCTGGCATTGATAAGAGCATATTATTTCGGTTGCATGCTGGAGGTTTCGGCCAATCATGATAGACTAGATGTCCGGCCAATTAGAGCGCACCATGCCTTTTTCATAAAATTCAGTGCATTTCTTAAAGGCAGATCAGAGATGAGCTACTATATTGTATGGTATATGGAAAAAATAATTTTGTTTTTAAACATTTATCTGTATGAATAGACTATTTTGAGGGGTTTAAATGATAACAACAATGTTCCCAACGAATTTGCTGTTTTACATATTTAATTTTCATAGCTTCCGAGAATCCCTAAAGGTCCACATATTAATAAATTATGTTAAGACAGCTGTTTTAATGTTAAGTTATGATTGAATTGCCTCCTGTTACAGTTAGGAAATAGTTTGACAACAGGCAGGAAATGTTTATGGGTCAATGACATTACCACTTTGAAATGGTCTATACATTGAATTACAGCAAATACACAAAGTAGTCTTCTTTAAGCATTGCAATATAACTCATTTCTTCATGAGAAACTCATTATCATTTCATTCTAAATAGCCATGTTGGAAGCTAAAATCAATCTGTCTAATTATCCTGTCTAATAAGGCCTGAGCTAACTACTTTTTCTGCATTGTGTTCGATCTTGAGTGAAGCTGTGTCCATAGATAGCCGAGTTCAATGCCTACTGTATAGTGCTTAGTGTTTTTTATGCTGGTGTCTCTGACTGGTTTCAAATAAATATATTTGACACTTAAAACACCAGCACGTGGTGGCAAGTTCCTTACAAGTGCTTTATTGAAACACTGAAATATTTGTTTTAAGACAAATGATTGATTTGGATGCAAAGACGTGCTGTGGCCAACACTATTACACTATTATACTGTAGTTGAGTATATAAGGAAATGAGGAGCAAAAATGAGCTAGAGAATTTGGGGACTGACATACAGTAAAGAGTATGTCACATACAGATTTACCATCTACCTATTTAGCCATATGTACTGATATTCTGG